ATATATATATATATATATATATATTTATATTTATATTTATATTTCTCTTTGAGTCCTCAAAGGTGCTTGCGCAAGCCATTTGGAAATGGATTCTGCATATTGTACGTGCAATCGGACTGCTTCTGTAAAATAAAAACATCTTTCAAGTTTTTAAAACTATTAATTGGTATATATACAGTAGAATCTAGTTTATCCGGTCTTTCATTAATGAAGCATCGCATTATCCGAGGTGTTCTTATCCGAGCATTCGTATTAATCGAGCTATATGCTCGGATAATAAGGAAAATTCTGATAAAATGGACAGCGCGGATGTGCAGTACGTACTAAATATATATATATAAACGGTAAAAGTTTTGTTTCTCAACAAAAGTATAATGTTTCTCCGTATGATCCGACATTTGGGCTATCTGAGATATACTCGCTCCACATTACCTTAGATAAACGAGATTCTACTGTATATATATAAGGCGATTTAAATTGAAATATCTTAAATATGTTTAACGTATAATTATTTTTGCAAGATGTAAATCCTTAAAAGTTAATTTTCCTTTCAATTCAGTCCAACTAAATTTTGTAGCTAGAGTGTTGGCCATAATTTTTTTAAAATGTTATTAGTTATAATATGCATGGTACTTCCACTCACGAGTTTTAAATATTGTAACTAAAAAAATTGCTTCATAGATAATGCGAAAACAATGATGTGCGTATAGTATCAATAATTGATTACAATACATAGGCAATATATTGTATAATAAAACCATTTAATGGAATTTAATATATCATACCACTAACTAAAAAAATTGCTTCATAGATAATGCGAAAGCAACGATGTACGTATAGTATCAATAATTGATTACAATACATAGGCAACATATTGTATAATAAAACAATTCAATGGAATTTAATACATCATACCACTTTTTGTTTAAATTGTGATTCCTGTAGTAACTCTTCGAAATTATTCAGATCTTGTAATGAGACTAATGGGAATTGGAAGTTACATTCTTCACCAATTTTTACTTTAAATTATATCTTTTCTCCTAATACATTTAGCATATTTTAAAATCTGTCCATTTTATGCAGCATTTTATTTATTTTCAATAAAACCTGTTTTCTAAACTCTGAAACAAACCATTTTTTTTTATTTCAGTGCTACATTTCATACTATATTGGCAATAACATAATAAAATTCCCTTTTTTCATTTAAAACACTTATTAATTTTGTTACGGATCCGACTCGAGGCTGTCGAGTCGGTCGATGCGCACTGATTAGCGTAAAGCGTCTGGCGCGTAAAGCTGAATGAGGTCACGCGGAAGGGAATAAATAAGAAGATAACAAAAAAATTAGCGTTTATTCAAGTTATACGTTAAACTTGGCCTGTCATCGGTTCGGATGACGGCACAGAAATCTTGGACGCACCTGCGGCCGGGTCAGCCGCCTGTGACGGAGATCTTGACTCGCGTTACTCTAACGCTGTTCGGTCGGGTATCTTGAACGCGGCGACAGATATCTTCCGCGGACCCTGGTGCTCGCGCTCGCAAGAACCGACGAACCGACCTTTTCTTTCGACTTGGATTTCCGCGAACAATGAAGAATTACAATGAAGAATTCGACCAGAGCGCAACACGACCTCGGGTCCAGGCGGCTCGATTTCGAACGCGAGAGTCAGTAGCTCACAAGTGTTGAGTCTGGGAAGCAGACAGAATAGTTATACTATTTCTCGCGGAGAGAGAAACAAATTGGCTTCGACACACACGTCTACAGCTCTCGCCCTGAGCAGAGTCGGCCTGATGCGAAAAGAATTCCGAGCTCTATGCTTTCGAGAGTTATTCGTAGCCATTGTGTTGACTGCAAAACTCGCCTCGAACTAACTAACTTTTAACAGCGGTTTCCCGAGATGAGCGCCTGGCTGCCGAACTCGTGTGCGATCATTGGTCGCGATCGTAGACTTGATTGCGGGATCTCGCGATATGTCCTAATTTAGCAATATGCGAACACGGCGATTTCTCACGCATGCCGCTTGCCGATTCGCGGAAGCATGTTTTGCTTTAGTGGTTGCCTTAGCAACCGCGGCTCGCTTGCCAGGTAATAACAAAAAAATGTTGTTTTCGCTGTACAGCTGTCGCGAAGATCACGACAGCATCACAGATCTTCTAACGCGGAGAAATTTTTAGAAGGATTCTCGAACCGTTCGAGATCCTTCCCAAAATCTCTCCAACATTCCGCCCGCCTTGAAGCGTCCGCTTCAACGAATTGTTCACTTTCTTGCTTGGTTCTCTTGAGCGCAGTACACTGTGTGAACGACGACACATAAGTCCGCCGCGAGCGGACACGACGAACATGAGTTTCCTCCGCTGGTCGCTACAACGTTATTTATGAGGTGTCGAGAATATCGCATCGCAATCAACCTGCAGCAAACATACTTTGTTGATGGGTCGCGTGTATTGCCGTCTTTACCGTGATTATACGGACCAAACCGTCCGACCCGGGATGATAATGAGTGACACGCCCCAATTCCCATTTACAAGGGGGGAGATTGGGGTTTCGCAATAATACTAGTTGTCCCATGCGAATTGATGAACGCACCGTGCGCCACTTTACTCGTTGATGCAACATATTAACATAGTCGCTATATCATATTTTCCAAAATCGCTCCGTTATCTGGCGTAACAATTGCTATCGAGACAGGCGATTCTCGTTCAAAACAAGCAGAGAGGGTTCCGGAGCGGACGTGATCGCAGCACCGATCAAAAAGTGATCAGATGTCAATGGTTCGTAGTCGTCTAGATTATCCGATAGCCGTGCGATAGGACGTGAATTTAAGCAGGCCTCGACTTTGCATAAAATTGTCAGCAATTCTTCGAACGTGAGAATGTGACTACCGATAACGCGGCGCAAATGATGTTTTACACTCTTAACTTCGGGTTCCCATATTCCGCCGAAGTGAGGTGCTGACGGAAGAAGGAAGTGCCACGCGACGCTATCGGAGGCCGTTTGGAAAGCCGGATCGCGCAACGCGGCGCGATACGCGGCAGCCAACTCGCGATTCGCGCCGACAAAGTTCGTTCCGTTGTCGGAATATATCGACTGCGGCAATCCGCGGCGCGAGCAGAAGCGCACATATGCATTGAGGAAGACACGAGTGGAATAGTCTGACACCAGTTCTAAATGGATGGCACGCGTCGCCAGACAAACGAACAGCGCGATATACACCTTACGCGAAGCGATTCCTCGACCGGTGGACGTCCGAACAACGATAGGGCCAGCGTAATCCAATCCGCAATGCTGTAAGCTGCGAGATGGAGCGGATACTTGCACTGCGGGAAATTCGCTCATTAACTGAGAAGGAACGGCGGCTCGCTCACGAGTGCAAGGAACGCAGCAATGGATAACGGCTTTGACAAAAGACCGCGCACGCAGAATCCAGTCGCAGCGTGCCCAATGTTAACTGCAGTCCGGCATGCAGGGCGCGTAGGTGAATGTGTTCGATAATAAGTCTTGCGATCGAGTGATCCGCGAGCAGGAGTAAATGTCGCGCGGCGACGCGATGCAGCGTTGTACATTTTTCTTCCACGAGGGCAATCTCGGATGGACGGTACACACTGGTCGGCCATTAGTCATAAGGAAGAGGCAACCAATGAGGACCCTTCCACAGAGAATGTGTCGACAGATCGTCTCCGATTAATCCGCGGGATGCGCAATCTGCGGGATTGTATTCCGTCGCGACGTGTCGCCACTTGACGTCAGGCAATCGCATCCGGACGTCGGCGACTCGGTTCGCGACAAATGTTTTCCACCGCGACGGGTGTTGATTGAGCCATGCGAGCATACGGTGGAATCAGTCCAACAGAAACAAGCGGACGAGCTGATTTTCAAAGTTTCACGCACGAACTCGACAAGACGCGATAGAAGTACGGCTTCTAAGAGTTCTAAACGCGGAATAGTTACGGGTTTTATTGGAGCGACACGCGACTTTCCAAACAACAGCGTTACCGTCGCGCGGCCCGACGCATCGACGACTTTCAAATATACAGCGGCGGCGTAAGCGGCATTCGATGCATTCGCGAAGCCGTAAAGCTCGATCTGAGCGTCCGACACGAAACCTGACTATCGAGACACGAGCAACCCATCCAGAATCTGGCATAAATCTTTTCCAGCGTAGGAGCCGCTGGCCAAGTCGTCCCACGCGGTTCCCGCTTTCCACAGTTGCTACATAATAATTTTAGCAGCGATCATGACTGGCGTGACCCAACCGAGAGGGTCATACAATCGTGCAATTGTGGACAGCGCGCTTAGTGCGAGGAATCTCCGAACTGAGCGAGACTTTTATCTGGAACGCGTCGAGACTGGACGCCCAACCAACGCCCAAGATACTAAGTCGGTCGGCGGCGCACAACGTTTTATTGCATGCTACCTCGTGGTCGGCGATGTCTGATAAGAGGGCGGACGAATTGCTGGCCCATTTTCGTAACTCGAATCCCCCGCGACTCAGAAGGGCGACAACCTGAGCTCAAATCTCGCACAAAGCATCAGAATCATCATGACCGAAGAGCACGTTGTCTAAGTAAATATGATCTCTCATAACCGGCAACGCGAGGGGGAATCGAGAACCCTCATCCTCCTTTAATTGACGGAGCACGCGTAATGCCAAAACGGCGCGCACGCCATACCGTACGTAACCGTGAGCAGCTGGTAGTCTTTTGCCGACGCATTCTCGGACGTCTTCCACAATAATGCTAATCAAGGTCGTGAGGATCAACGAGGATTTGCCGATACATTTTCGCGATATCGGCTGCATATACGAATTTAAATTGACGCCAATGTAGAATAACCGCAGGAAGCTCTGTTTGAAGTTTAGGTCCGGTCAACAAATGATCGTTTATACTTGAACGTTTGAGGTTCAACTATAACACTCGACGCGTTGAAGACGACTCGCAAATGCGTCATGACACTCTTTTCGCGAAAAACGGGATGATGAGGTAAATAAACGCATTGCGAATCTCTTCCTGATGACCGAGGAATTTCGCGAATATGCCCGAGGAATTTCGCGCATATGCCCGAGATTCTGATACTTACTAAGAAAGTCGCTTCGACACACGCGTCTACAGCTCTCGCCCTGAGAAGAGTCGGCCTAATACAGAAAGAATTCCGAGCTCTGTGCTTTCGAGAGCTGTTCATAGCTATTATGTCGACTGCAAAACTCGCCTCGAACTGACTAACTTTTAACAGCGGTTTCTCGAGATGAGCGCCTGGCTGCCGAACTCGTGTGCGATTATTGGTCGCGATCGTAGACTCAATTGCGGGATCTCGCGATATGTCCTAATTTGGCAATATGCGAGCACGGCGATTTCTCACGCGTGCCGCTTGCCGATTCGCGGAAACATGTTTTGCTTTAGCGGTTGCCTTAGCAACCGCGGCTCGCTTGGCAGGTAATAACAAAAAAAAATGTCGTTCTCGCTGTGCAGCTGTCGCAAAGTTCACGACAGTATCACAGGTCTTCTAACGCGGAGAAATTTGTAGAAGAATTCTCGAACCGTTCGAGATCCTTCCCGAAATCTCCCCAACAAATTTTTATAAACAAATTAACAGAAGGATCTTGTTTACCAACATGTTTGTCGCTGTAACTTGTTCCGTCCTGTTCTGAATGCATGAACTCACATCTTTGTCTGACAGCTACAAAAAATATTTGATATATTTTATTCATGGTTATAAAACGGTTTATAGATGTTAGTATCATTATTACTTACTTCAGTAACAAGTACATCCTGACATATCATATTTTCAATATGTTGCGTAGATATTTTCTTCACTGGTGTGCTACTGGAAACAAATTTTTCTATGCGCGGAAAAGGAGGAAGTTTTTTTATTTGATGTCAGATCATTTTCTTTATTTGCAACGAATTCTTCCTCTTCCGAAGAAGAGAAAACTTTTCGTTTTGCTTTTTACGTCTCCTTTTCTTGTCCCGTTCTCTTATTTCGCTGGATAACATACCAGTATCGTCTACATTTGATGTATCTTCCGCTAATATTAGCTAATATATTTTTCCATACTCTTTTCATAAGTTTCTGAAATATTTTAAACAATATAGCAATAATAAAATAAAAACATACATTTATTTTTAAGTCAGTGTAATGAGCCGTAACATATATTTTTGTAACATCTTAAGTTATTCACCTGCGCTTCCAAAAATTCTTTTCACTGGTAAATCTTCCCAATCATATTATTCTTTGAGCATTTCTCCCGTCATAATGGCTTTATTAATCCGAAGTTGTGTTTTAAAATGACTAAGCCAAATACATGTTTGTTTAGTAGTATTTAGCCATGGTGCAGATATTATTTGTAGACCATCAGAGAATTCTACTATTACAAATGTTCTATCGCCATCCATGACTATCAGTCAGTAAATATATGTATACCTTGTAATATTGTAAGTAATTGTAATAAACATTATAAGTAATTGTAACAAATATTGTTATCTATAGCGCATAAAACTATTTTTCGTGAATGAGAGGAAATATTGCAAATATATTGGAATCATTCCCATAAGGAATTTTCTATGTTTCATGCTTTAATTCTGTAACCGGGTATGAATAGATATTATCATTATGTATTGTTATCATTATTTTAATATTAAGCTCGTCAGATTCGCAAGATAATTCATGTAAGTGTTCTATATGTTTCAACTTTTTGCCTATTAAATAAATATCACCATTATTATTTTGTACTATATTAAGAATCAAAATACATAAACCACTTTTTAAAACAAAACAATTATCACTATTATTATTACATTCTATTTCAAATTGTTTACTTGATAATTGCAGATATTGTGATTGAACATCGTATATATCACATATTGGTCCATTATTATGCACATTTTTGCATGAATATGCCTTGTCCGTACGAAAATTATTTTTCGACACTAAATAACCAACATTTTCAATCTCACTATATCTTCTGATTAATTGTTGTAGTGGTTTTTCTTTTTTCTTAATAATCTTCTAGTAGATGTCGTATAATTCTCATAACGAAATGCGCTAAAATTATCTAACGGTCCAAAAATTCTGACATCGGAATATAAATGCAAGAGATTATGAACATTATGTGTCTAATGGGTCTGTGATATAGGTAAAAACTTTGGAATATTATTTAAAATAATGTATTCCGTTTAAAAAGTTTTATATGCATTAACAACAAATAATTCATATATTCTTAAATTCTATTGATATATCGTACTTGGGAAACAAATCTTATTATGTAACAGGGTGTTGCGTCAACATACAGATCAATACAACGGGTTGCCTGCCTGTTAAGCGCACGTGGCTGGTAATGCAGGGCCGATAACGCAGGGTTTGCCGAATAATTATATGCCTACTTTATCAAATGAAATGTATAATGCTTCTAATTATCACGATCGTAACAGATATACAGGGTGTCCCAAAACTGGTAGAACACCCGTTAGGGGTAGGTAAGGAGTGCAATTTGGAATTGAAAGTTCTTCTTGCATTTTTGGATCCGACAATTAATTAACGAAATATTAATGTATTAAGTCTGCCAATTTCTTACCGTCTCGAGTGAGCGCTCAGAGACGTAGAACGCTATGGACTTCTCAGGGGCCCTTCTTGTCCGTTTGTCTCCCCTTTTTGTATCACAAGGGAATAAATGTGGATGAGTGAATAAGTGGATGTGTGGGTGAGTGCCTGACCGGGACTAGGAGAGGAGGGGGTGGCAAGTTTTCTGTATATGGGAGTAATGTGCGGGTGTTTTTGTGTGCGATTATGAGTGTATGGATAATTTGAATGTTTTTAGTAAAAATGGGCGGAATGATTGCGCTTTATATGCCGGAGAGGGAGGATATGTGTGATATGCTTCCTTCGAGTGCGTGGGTGACTTGAATGTTTTCTGCACGTCAGTGGTTGAGTACCGTGAATAATTTTAGTATGTGTGTATAGGAGGTAGGGGGATGGGGAGTTAAGTATAAGTGATTTTCTTGCGTTGTGTGTATAAGAGGCACATTAATCCCACATACAGAAAACTTGCCACCTCCCCTCCCCTCCTAGTCCCGGTCAGGCACTCACCCACAAATCTACTCACTCACTCATCCACATTTATTCCCTTGTGATACAAAAAGGGGAGACAAACGGACAAGAAGGGCCCCTGAGAAGTTCACAGCGTCCTACGTCCCTTATAGAAATATCATATTAAGAATCATTGACAATTATTTATTATCCAGTAGTTTTAATACTGAAAATAAATAATTATAAATGATTCTTAGTATGATATTTTTATAAGGGGTCCCTTATAGAAATATCATACTAAGAATCATTGATTAATT